TACTGTCAGGTTGCTCAGACTAAGGCAGTTGAATTTTCCCGGGGAATCCACAACCAAAACATTTGGTTAGCCGAAGCCTGACCCGCAATGCAGCGGGGCAGTGTACGAAATCCGCCCGATACACCTCGATGCCCAATCGAGCCGGTGACAACACAACCAAGAAGTTGCTTGCATGGTTCATGGTTTTCATGGTTGGTTTAGAATCAGGCTTTCGGCAAATTTCCCTAGGTGAAGTACCCGCGGTCCACCAACCCGGTTATAGCCCCGAATGTCAGCTTTTCTGCCTCTCTATTTGGTGGAAAAACACCTTCGCCACGAGAAGACAGTGAGTAGAGTTTCCTCAGTAGAAATTATTTGAGACTCTTGGTCAAATGGGAGCATTTCGCGAGGTCTAAGCGCAGGGTGGCCAGCCGTAACACTAGAGAAGCAATCCAGATCATACTGAGGAATTGGAGGCTAGAGGGTTCGTAGTACAAACTCGATTGTCTTCCATAGAAGGTGAAGGGGTGAATCATTAGCAACATCATCAGCATCATCAGCATCATCATCAGTATTCAAATCAACATCATCCAAATCATAAACATAATCATCATCCAATTCATCCACATTATCATCATTATCATCAAAATCATCAACATCCAAATCACCATCCAACTACTGATCAACATCATCATTCTCTTCATCGTCATTATTATTACGGGAACGATAACAGATATAACGTACGACGAAATTTAAATTGCGCTTAAGGATCCTGCGAACAGTACAGGGCTAACAATAGGAAAACAACGCGTAAGGTAAGACGAATGAGCTAAGTCTAACGACGGCAGCTAGCAATAAACAACGATCCTGTGAATCTAGACTAACCGCACGGTCTGGGTAGAAAAAACGGCGTTGGGCAGCAGTAATAATAATATAAATAATTACAGTATAAAATAGATAAGAAATAGAAACTCACGACTAGATTGACACGACGTCGATTTAACTAGCGCGTCAAGGTCAGAATAGGAAATCAACAATTATAAAGGGCAGTAATGCAGTTAAACAGACATAGTAAAAGAGGGAAAGCATATAAATTTTAGACCTCGTATACAGCGCAACGAGTTGGGATATGTTGTAGCGCAAAAAATTGTTAGTTGGAAAAGTTTGGATACTAAAGGATTCTCCAATCGTTTACAATCATCATCGTCAACTTTATCATCATTAACAACATCATCGAACTCATCTTTGTCATCATCATCATCACCATCAATATGAACATCTTCATCATTAACAGCCGAATCATAATCATCATCAGCATCGCACGAATCAGCAGCATCCCAATCATGGTCATCATCATCATCATCATCATGATCGTCATCAACCGAGTCATCATCGGCATCATTTGGATCGTTATCGTAAACATCATTATCGGGCTGATCATCGTCATCATCATCACCCTCTGAATCATTATACTCCGAATCATCATCATCCGAGGCATCAGCATTGCAATCATCATCATCATCATCAACATCCAAGTCATATTCGAAATATTCATCCTCAGTTTCATCACCAATATCATCATCATTAACAGCGTGAAAACCGTATTCAGCAGCAGCATCATCTCAACCATCATCATGATCATCATCGTCATCGTGCTCCGATTCATCATCGTCATCATCATCATCATCATCATTTTAGTCATCATCATTATCATTATCACAATCATCATCATCGCAACATCATCCCCGAAATCGTCATCCTCATCATCATCATCCCAATCATCATAATCAGAATCATCATTTTTCGAATCTTCCTCAACATGTTAGCCGTCATCATCCGATTAGATTTCATCGGAACCACCTTCAATGGAAACATCATCGTCTTCGTCACTCGAATCATCATCATCCAAATCATCATCAGAAGCTGCGTCGTCATCATCATCATCGTAAACCTCATCATCGTTATAACCATCATCATCGTCGCGATCATCATCATCCGAATCATCCCCATCCGAATCACCATCACCGGAACGTCACTGTCATAGGAATCATCATCATCCGTTTCATCACCATCATCATCATTAGCATAATTCGGATCATTAGCATCCGATTCATCATCATCCTCGAAATCGTCATCATCATCATCAGAATCATCATGTTCCGAATCTTCTTCATCATAGTAGCCATCATCATCCGAATAAATTTTATCGGAATCACCTTCACTCGAAATATCATCGTCATCATCATACGAATCATCATCATCATACGAATCATCATCATCATCATCATCATCATCATCATCATCATCATCATTCGAGTGATCATCTTCACGGTCATCATCATCATCATCATTATCATAATGCTGGTCATAATCAACCATCCTATGAATGATTGTTGATTTTGTTAATCAGATTTATCTGGTTTTCTATGCACTTGAGACAGCGGATGAGTTGAACCTCACTGTGCTAACTATATGATGTAGTTTATACTTATTCGGAATGACCGATGAATTCACACAGACCAGTGTATTGGAAAATATGTATAATCGACTTATGTTCTATTTCGTGAGTACCAACTCATATTTGGCAATGAATCATTCAGGGTAACTGCAATGTTCTTTTGAATAAAAATACCAAAATTTTCTCTGAAGTTAAAGGCATGAGAGTGCATGAGTCGGTTATTTGAAAATCAAAAAAGCAGAATCTAAGTTTAAATTACTCGTGGCTTCCTTGTCCCTATCACCCCTGGGCTTATCGTTTCAGATAATCAACGCAAACAACCTGAAGGAATAAGATATTTATTCCTATCCGATATAACCAGTCACACCTAGCTGTTTTCTATTTATAAATAGTCATCTTGTTTAACGAATACAACGCTTAGGAGAACAGTTTGACCGCCAAACGTTTCTCATCTATTCAACTTACATGCCATCAATGAAAACAGATAGCGAACGAAATTGTCATGCTCATTTATTGAATCACACATTTTTATTTGGGTATTTTCCGGGTATCACCTGGAGTTCATTCCTTTCTCTGCTCAATCATTCAAGCTATCATTATGGAAAACTTCTCGCTGTTCTATTCGAATGACGAGGATGCAATCATGAGTTACAACGATATCCGCAATTTTCAATTGGCCTGGAATGTGATTGACGTGAATCGCAAGGTAAGCGTTTTGCATGCGCGCCATTTGAAATCATAAAATGCAATACCGGAAGCACATTAGCAAGCAGCTCATGGATCGGCGGATTTGTAATGAAATGTTAAGATGGTCGTAGTCGAATGTCCAATGCTCCCTTACACAGCTTTTATTTATCTGAGAACTATTATCTATACAAACATTGCATTGAACCATAACATGATAGCTCTCACTAGCTGAACTTGTGAGTGATCTATGTGAGATCTCACTTCACAATTGCTGTTCAGTTATTAACTTTTATATTCGTTCTATTCACCAGAAATCATTTGTTTTGGTTCCATCGCCATTTTCACTCAGCTGATGAATAATTTTTAGAAGAATGTTTAAGCCAAAGTAGACCGCGATGTGTTGAGCGAAGCAGAATTCATTTCTAAATTGATTTTAGTCCTCCGAAAAATGGTGCATCTGAATTTCCATATTGTTCCACTGAACGCGTGACAGGGATGAACTATGAAACGGGGAAACTCACCCTCTGGTTACATAACTTAGTAATTTAAGCCAAGAAAAAGTGAAAATGGTCATCACGAAGGTTAGGCTGCGACGGAAGAGCAGTGGAGGTTATATATTGATGCGTTGTAGTACTATCATCCCCTAGGTCGAGTCCCGCAAGAGGCACAAGAATAGTATACATTACTGCTACTTTCCGACACGAACGGAACGGCTGTCCATCACTTTGCTGTAAATGGCTTTTTATTTTAAACAAACAATTTCAGATCAGTGAAAAGTTTGTTGTATTGATCGGTCAGAGACAAAATACCGGAAAATTCTAAATCAGTCTTTTATTTTAAACATGTGCTGTTGAAACATGTGAACAGTGCATAAACATATAAAATAAGAAACATTTCAACCATTTCTTCGATTGTAAACCTTTTCCCAGTGAAAGTAGGTTCCTAAAACTGACAGCATGCTATCTATGCACACTTTCAGGCAGTAAATAATGTACAGATTGTTTGTACACTGAACAAAAAGTCTTACGGATTTATAGTTTCATTTGTAACAGACACTATAATTGGCTATTTGTAATGGAATGTTCATCGAGCCATTGTGTTTGCTTGGCTGCATCGTCGAGCGGTTAAATTTTTCCCTGGTGTATTGCAAACACAAACACACATCATATCCTTTTCTTTGATATTTACGGAGGAAGGAATCTGGGGTTTTGAACACTGATTACCAGTCGTACAAATCGAAACGATCCACTTGTATCATTATGCACATCGATACTCGACAATGGAACGCCGAAATGACGATCGGATCATCAGTCATAGGAATGCGCAATTTCTACGTGAAGTTCGTTTTTCTCCGTTAAAGCGTAATACTCGTTAGCTGCAGAAGGACACACTGTTACAATGAATCATGAAGCTTTCAACACATCCGATGGACGCAGTTCTGAAGATTGATATCTCATAACAACTTGCTCTTCTGAAGATCAATATAGTTTTACCCCATGTCGGTAATTATCGTTCATTACTCTTTTGTTCTATCAGTACAATATCGCATAATTACAATGTCGTTCGTCATGAAATATCAATAAACCATTAGCCTGTGTTTGCCCGCAGCCACCGTGTGTTAGAATTGCCCCATATTCATCATGTTATTTATGGAGTGGAAAATGGTCCTCGCATGCTCTATAGTTTGTACATATTAATAAAATTATCTTACACAGAAAGTCGAATCAAGCGGAACAGCGGTCATTTTACTCATGTATCTAACACAGTCATTATTTGCGCGTCTTATACATTGTTTGGAGCAGGGGAACGTGCATGTAGAGGCATAGTTACTTGAATGATACATTTCACAGTAAATAATACGATTGAATAACTTGCCCCAATAGGAGAAGAGCTATTTATGAAGTGGTGCAGGATATAAATTTGAACGCGGGTTGATTTAGACAGACTTCGGAATATCACACATGGAAAATTAAATAATCGATATTATAAACAACCTATAGAGCTGCTGCTTCTGTTTACGTGAATTCAATTTATGCCTTTATTTGCTTATTGTTGAATGCGTAAAGCCCTGTATCATTTGACCTTTATCGTTTGATGATGCACATTTTCATCCAGGTGTAGGGAAAATAATCCATAACGCCGACCTTAATTAGCAACCTGCCAGGCTCCTGTCGGTCACAATGCCGTCTATGAACATTCACCAGTGTTATCTGACTATCCTTCAGACTTCAGCTGCAGGAAAAATACTCTTTCATATTTAAGAAAACTTTTAACTTTCTTTCAACTTCCTTTTTTATTTATTCAATATACAAATGTAAAGTGAACTTTCAGGAAGGAGGCGCCGGCCATACAAAAGCTGCGTGGGAAAATACAGAAACGGAGAAGACGGGTGACCTAACCACTTGGCCACCACCGCCCAGTGGTTCCAGTCAACCATACACTCGGGAAGAACTAGAGTGGAGTTCCTCTTTCAGCAGAGCCTATCAGCAGTTTATGTCCACGCCCTGTCCGAGCTTTGAACTTCGGACCCACCACATGGAAAGCGTGTGTTGCCACTATGCCAACCAGATCATACCAAGGCTCAACCAACTTACCAAGTCATCTTTTTCAGGTGTTGTCCTCAGTGATGGTCAGTCTGCCCGACAGCAAAGAACAGAAGGAAAGCAAAGGATTTTGCGTGAGGGTGAAGTTTGAAGGGTATTCAGTTCAAATAAATATCACTTATCCCACACAACTACTCACAAGTAACAGTGAGTTAAATGAGAACTTTTGTCTGTTTCAGAGAAATCGCTTACTAGGAAAGAAACTACCATATCTCCGGATATCATCGTAACTCTTTTATATTCTAATAAGCTCTGCTCCTTCCCCCTCTGCGAGGTTGACTGTCCAAGAAGCTATTCTTCTATCGACGTTCTGCCGACGAGGCGGTGACAGGGCTCAACTGAGATTGAACTTAAAGTAACCTACTACTTGCGGTTCCCGCAATCAAAAGTTGGACGCTCCAAAGTTCATGGCTGATCGTGAATAATTAAAAATATGGGTATTATTACTACACATGTAGTGAAAAAGATACTACATAAACGAAAAATAACAAAATATACGGTACATGGAACGAACTCACAGAAAGATTGTCCGGCTGATTGATTGGTCCTGTTCTTCGGATGTGTGGCTCCGGTTGATAGTGTGCAGTATTGCTGAAATGGATGGCTGCGACAGTCAATGGACCGCTTGATGATAACTGATAATGTACGCGTAATGTTTCAGCAGCACTCGGAGAACACGTGCATCGTTACGAAAAGAAGTTGTATTGTGTTGTTTCTTGTTGTGTATATTAAAACAAGTTGTACAATCATGTCATATAAAGTGCATAGAAAAGTAAGACAGTACACACATTGGAATTTACTTCCAACTACCTCTTAGTTTCACGGGTGACATTTAGGGTTGCCTAAGTAATTCCCTTTCAAGGAGAATTTAATCATTGTAAATAACGAAAGACAGGGACTAATTATGTTTTGAACGGTCGACTGTGCTGTGATAGCATTTTGCATACCTGAAGTTTGCTTCCTCCCAAAGATTGATTATCGTTAATCTTGAAGTTCTCAGCTGGATTCGGCACACCAGGCCTTCTTAAGGGTCTTGGTAACCAGACAATCCATGGTCTTCTCTTCGTGGGTTTGAAGGGGGCGGAGTAAGTAAACAGTGGCAATGCAGTTTTTGTTCGGTTAGTGCAAACTTCCCGACAGTGTTTGCGGCCCGGTTACAACGTGCGAAAGACATTATCGTGCGTCATGCTGTGTGCACTCGTCAATCCTCAATGTCATCGCTCGCTCCCGCACACACGAAAACACAGACTGAACGTATTTTCCCAGCCAAATGACCCTTTGTGCTAAGTGCTCTTTTGGTCAGACACTAGGTCTGATGGACATACATACATGAAGTGTCTACGGCTGTGTGTAGACTGCTGCCGTCAAGAAGTCCTACTGATTGGAGCGCTACAATGCGGATGTCAACGTGAGAGATACGCTACTTCTGTTTTGGAGCTTAAACGGTTTTATAAGTCCCTCCTGTGCGGCTCTTTCATAGAACGGATGGAAACCCTTCAGTTTTTCAACAAATCCTAATTGGTACGTCAGCTGCGTCCATTTGTCGTCCGCTTCGCAACCATCATCAGCGGCAATAGTGGTAACATCGTCATGACGACCGGGTACCCGAGTTCCCTCACCAGAAACCCCACAAAGCTTTGAAGTGAAGCGTTCATTGTGTTTTAATTTATTGAGCGAGCACACTTCAATATTCACGAATACCGGATAATAACGTAGACATTGAGCACACAACAGTCAGTCCGAAAACACATCTATGCACATAATACAAATGATCTTAAAATGTATCAGGACGTTTACATCATAATTTCCTAATCATTTCAAAGTATGAGGGAAATTATTGTCTCAGGATTTAATTTAAATTCACAACCGTAATTTTGATTTTTATGTAAGGAAAATAACCAGCTGCTCACAGAGGCTTACAAAACTGTTGATCACGAACACTTATCACATAACATTGGACAGAAAGATATAAAAGTGTCTCAAATGACCAGCATGTCGCGCAATAAAATTTTATGTCTCTGATTGTTCTCTCTCTCTCTCTCTTCACACAGACAAATGGCTGCGCTCGCTGATCCATTTTAGTTTGGTAGATTAAGTGGAAGAAAGGGGATAGTGTAAGGAAATACATTGGGCAAAGAACACTCGAAACCGAGGGGGAGGCTGCGGGAAACAAGTCAATGTATTCTACATATATGGTACTGAAATGCATCTAAATGATGCCCCAATAAAATGGTTCAGGAATTAAATGTTGTGCTTCTCCGTTGTCATCAACATTCGTCACCATATTGGAGTAGGACTAGAGGACATTGTAGTCTGGGAGAGTATTTCTCGTCCTCTGAATAACAGTTCCCCCTTGAAAATTGTTAGCTGAGTTTAATAAAATAGTAATCCTCATTTGAGGACCATCCCCGAACGGACGAGCCGTTTCATGATTCTGGACCACGAACATTGCTT